TGGAACAAAATACCCCAGGCTGGATACTTCAGAAGGAAAAGAGGTTTATTTAGCTCAGAGCAGTGGAGCTCCCAACACGTGGCATTGCTGGTGGCTTCTGATGGGGGCTTCATGGTAGGCAGTGGGTGGTGGGTGGTGGAATCACAATGGAGGGAGCATGTGCAAGACAGAGAGAGAGAGAGAGAGATAGCAAGTGCATGGTGAGAGAGCAAGCAAGACTGGCAATCAGCATGTGCAGATGAGAGATATTTGGGCGAAGTGCCAAGCTCACGGCTAAAACCCAATGACCTAATTCCCACCTACCGGGCCCCCATCTCTGGAGGGTTCTGCCCACTCTCAATATCACCACCCTGGAAACCAAACTTCCAGAAGCAGAGCCTTGGCGGAACCAACCAAGTCCAAACCAAGGCACCTCCCTGTGGGTGGGGATCCCTGCCCAGAATAGGGACATAACGAGAGAGTGTTATTCTCTCATGGGTTTTGGATAAAACTTCCTTGGTCCACTTGTGAGTACACCAGTGTCCACAAACACTACCACCAGTGGTTTTTGGTGTTGACTTTGTGGCCAGCACTGTATATGCATTGCTGTGTCTAATCCACTCATCATGTACCTGGGTTCTGGGTGATGGCAACCCAGCTCAGATAGGTTTGAGCAGAGAAAAGGAAGTTATTGGCCAAAATACCTGAAAAGCCCTGAGGCTGAGATTGCCTTCAGGTTCAGCTGGGTCCAGGTGTCATCAGCGTGTCTTTGCCGCCAGTTGGCTCAGCTCCCTCCATGTCAGCTTCTATCTCAGGCAGCCTCTCCCCAGGCACGCCAAGCTTTCAGCTTTGGGAGGACCAAACTTCCCATACGTAGTCCCAGCAAAGTCCTGGGGTCTGCCATCGTATTAGCCTAGAACCATCCACTCTGGCCAGCAGGGGTGATGGTCCCAATGGCTGGTTGGGGTCACATGCCCTTGTGTGGGCTTGGGACGGGGATCAGAAGTGGATAGAAGTGGATTTATCTCACCAGGGAGACGGGCTGCAGCTATCAGAAGGAGGAGGGAGAGGGCAGCAGGCAGGTGCCAGCCAGATCTCCTCTACAGCACTGAACTGGACTGGAAGAGGAGTAGCCGGGACTTGAACCAGTGCCCATGTGGTATGCCAGCAAAGTCCTGGCACAAAGCCTCCACAGATGGAGGCTTAGCCTACTGTGCCACAGCGCTAGCCTCCCCATTTTCTTTTCTTTCCTTTTCCTTTCCTTTCCTTTCCTTTCCTTTCCTTTCCTTTCCTTTCCTTTCCTTTCCTTTCCTTTCCTTTCCTTTCCTTTCCTTTCCTTTCCTTTCCTTTCCTTTCCTTTCCTTTCCTTTTTTTTTCTTTTTGACAGGTAGTTATAGACATAGAGAGAGAGACATTGGTTCACTCCCCTAATGGCCGCTATGGCCAGCACTGCGCCAATACAAAGCCAAGAGCCGGGTACTTCCTCCTGGTTTCCCATGCGGGTGCAGGGACCCAAGCATTGGGCCATCATGTGCTGCCCTCCTGGGCCACAGCAGAGAGCTGGACTGGAAGAGGAGCAACCGGGACTAGTACCCAGCGCCCCAACTGGGACTAGAACCTGGGGTGCCGGCGCTGCAGGTGGAGGATTAGCCAAGTGAGCCCCATTTTCCAGCCCCCATTTTCCTTTTTAATTGAGACAGAGAGAGGGAGACAGTGAGTGATCTTCCATCTATGGGTTCAGTCCCGAGATGCCAACAACAGCCAGAGCTGGGCCGGGCTGTCCATCCCACCCATGTGGTCAGATTTTCCATGAGGGGGCAGTGGAGCTCAGCAGTTAGGAGCTTGGGCTCTGGAGTTGGGCCAGAGAGGCTACCCCGGAGCAGCTTCTTCCTCGGGGAGTCTCACTTGCCTTCTTTATCCAAGGGTCCCCCTCGTGGCGCCTTCCTCTCGGAGGCATAGTAGGGGCCTTTATTCAAGCGAGCACCAGGAGGGTGTGGGGCTGGTAGTGCCCAAGGCACCAAGGCCAAGGTGATGCGGCTGCTGACTCAGGATGATGTAAGGAGAAAGCCAGCAGCCGCTGCACATGCTCTGTCCTCCCTGTGGAGGGACGAGCCATCTCTCTTCCCGTCTGCTCCGAGGGGAGAAGGCGAAGGAAGGGGCATTTCTGGAAGCTGTGCTATAAGCCCTTGTAAAGAGGGGCTGTACGTGCAGCCTCCAGTATCTGGGGCTCCGGTGGCTCTGAGCACCCAGGGAGAGCACGCACAGGAGCCGCGCAGCTGGAGGAGGCGGCGGCAGATAGGACTTGCTGTCACCCTGCTCTGCTCTGCCCTGTGGAGTCACACACAAGGGCTCTTGCTCGTCGGCTGGCTCTGGCGGAGCTCCTTGGCTGGGCAGCGGGGGCCCTGTGTGCTGCCTCCCTGCCCCCCACCCCGCCCCACCATTGCTTATGTGACATCACCTCCCACCGTGGCCCATCTGCTCCAGCCTATCCAGAGCTTTTGTTCTCCCCGTACCTGGTGGTGGGCTCCTTCCCTGTCGCTCCTTGCCTCCTTCCTGGAGGACCACAGCAGCGTCCTCACGGGCTGCCCTGGCCCTGGTACCGCCCCACCAGAGCCCATCCTCCCCACAGCAATGCCACCCACCTCCATGGAAACCCTCACTGTTTCCCTGCAGGCAGAAATGAAACCTCGGCTTTGCAGTCTGCCTCACAGCGCGAGCTGCATCTTCCTCTTGCACGCCATCCCCCCCAAAATCCCCTCTCCGGATGGGTGCCTGCCGTGCACCTGCGATCTTCCTCTTCCTGCTTCAGGGCCTTTGCACTTGCTATTGTCTCTGCCCAAGCTCCCCTTCCTCACATGTCTGCACATGGCTGTGTGCTTTGCATCTGTTCTGTCTCTGCTTAAATGCTTCTTCACAGTGAGGTCTCTGCCTTCTGCTCACATGAGGGACAGGCTTTGCACTGGCCACCTGGCTGGCTGTAGGGGAGCCCCTATCCCACCTGCCAGACATGCCAGGCCCTGGACTCACCTACTGTGAGATCAGACCGTGCCTGACATCTCATTCCTCTGTCGATGATGCCCTAACAAAGCCAGTCACCTCCTCTCACTCCACTTGTCTCAGGCCCTCCCTGTCGCTGCGGGAAATGAGCCGCCCAGTCCTCCTTTGCCACGTCCTGCTCTGAGCACACCTGCAGACGCACCTCGTTCTCAGGGGCATTTGTGGGTTAGAGACCTGGGCACCAGGATAGAACTGGTGGTGCTGGGCTGTGCAAGCTGCATGATTCAGGTTAGGGACGCCGACTCGGGCGACCACAGCTCCACCTCCCAGACCAGGCAGCTCGCTGCTGCAGCTCAGTTTCCTCACGTGTAAAACGGGAAAATGAACAGGTGCACTTCATAGACCGGGCATGGAGGTTACAGAGGAAAATGCCTCTAAACCCTGTAACCCTGGGGCTTGGTGGTAACTATTCTGATTAATGAGTTCTCTGCTCCTCTTATTATTATTATTATTATTATTAAATGAATTTGCTTTAGAGACACCAAGGGAGTGCTCTCGTCTTTGGCTCACTCCCCAGATGCCCACAACAACCAGGGCTGAGCCGGAGCTAACACCAGAAGCCAGGAATTCAAACCAGGTGTCCCACATGGGTGGCAGGGACCCAATCACTTGAGCTGTCCCCTGCTGCCTCCCTGGGTGTGCATTAGCTGGAAGCTGGAGTCAGGAGTCAGAACCAAGAATGAAGCATCCCAGTGCGGGATGGGGGCGTCTTAACCCAAGGGAGAAACGTCTGTCCCATTATCCTTACGGCGCTAACACCAGGGCCAAACTCCTGAACAGCTTGTGGAAAGACATTATTTTTCTGCTCAGTTTGAATGGAGATGACAGCACGCATGTGTGGGCTCTCCCCGCAGTGGACCCCTCCCCAGCCAGTTGTCACGGATTAAGTGTCATAACTTAATTGTCTTCATCAGCCCGCAGGAGCCCTCACTTGGCGGCCTCAGGAAGCAGAGCTGTCAACCACACCGTTCCTGTAGCTTGCGTCCCCCACACGGTCCCCGTCTGTGGCTGGGAGGAGCCGGATATCTCAGAGCATGCTGGCTTATACTACATTTGTCTTCCCTCTGCTCTTGTAGCTGTGTGGCTTTGGGCAAGGTGCCAGCCCTCCCTGAGCCCCCGGGTGTTTTCCCTAGGTGATCTCTAAGAGGGTTTTCCATTCGGGAGTTTCTGGAATTCAGGAATCAAGGGAAAGCGGCCGGTTGACACGTGGACTTGGGGTTTGTGCGTGGCTATGGCGTGTCTGTCTTGTGGTCACCCGGGGGCAGGTGACTGTAGCTGTCTTCATGGTCTCACTTCGCTGGCATAGGAGGCTGCTGTGTGCGGGGCTGGAAACACTTGATTTAATCAGCAGCTTTTAACTCAGAACCTGATATGGGAACCCAGGAAGATGCTCAGCTGCAGAATATTTTGCCTCCCACTTAAAAAGGGGTTCACACACCTGAACCCCCAATAAGATACTTCCACCTGGGAGGTTGCTGCTGCTCTTCTAAGCACCTCCTCCAGGAAGCCCCCTTGATTCCCATTCTGCCTTGGCGCTGTCCAGGTGGTGCCCCTCCTTTTCGCCGTACGTCTCATCAATGATGTCATGAGCTGTTCTTATCTGCCCCAAGTCAGAGGCTTGATGGTTCCATGTATGTCTCATTCCAGGCACCCAGTGGGCAGCAGCTGGTATTTGGTGAAGGGGGGCGGGGCCCCAGGCTTTGCAGAGGGAGTGGCCTTGCCTATGTCACAGGCTGGTGCTGGTCACATTTCTAATGGATGCAGAGCCTGGGTGCAAACAGATGCAAGTGCATTTGTTTTTGTGTTGTGGGTTGATGAATACTTGGGAAGACTGGAGGGTCCCATGTAAACAATTCTGCTGCCCGGTAGGGGCTAGGCTGTGCCGGGCTCCAGGGGACAGAGCATCAGGGTGGCAGCCTCAGCAGGAGGCCTCCTCTCTCCTCTCCTCTTCTGCCCTGGTCCAGCTGGAGCAGAGTGAAGCCAAGTGTGAGGATGCCTTGAAGACACAGAAGGCGCTGACCGCAGACCTGGAGACCATGCACAGCGAGCTGGAGAACATGACCCGGAACAAGAGCCTGGTACTCTCCCTTCCTGTGGCTGTGCGCATGCGCCCCCTGCAGGCCTCTGCGAGCTGCTGTGGGCCTACTCTGTGCGCAGCGTAGTAGGGATAAGGGGACTTGTTGTAGATCTACTGGATGCCACCTTAAAGGTATGTGCGTCCATTTCAGGCCTGCTGGGTGCTCAGCTCTGTAAGAGGTATAAGAGCACTTACTGTGGACATACTGTGTGCTCATCACTCTGAATGTGCTGGCATCCTACTGTGCACAAGGGTGTAGATGAGGGCCAACTGTGTGCTCCCGTCTCAAAGATGTTGTGAACACAGTGTGTGTTCAGAATTGTGGGGGTGCATCCCTTATAAGCCCAGTTTGGCACCCTAAGCAACAACTCAACTATTTAGAAGGTACCTGCAGTGTGCTCACTGCTAGAAGTGGTTTTCAGGCATCTGTTGTCCTACTGTGTGCTCACCACCATTAAGAGGGGCTTGGCCCTTATGTGGGGCTACTGCCTGTCCATTCCTGTAAATGGAGACCAAGGCATCTCTCATGGACCCACCGAGTCTCCCAACTATAAGAAGCCCCACCACCCATTATGTGTGCTCACCTCTGACTGGGGAATGAACATATATCCTGGGCCTACTTTGCTGGCGACAACTGGATGTGAATTTTGAAGTTCGCTGTCTGGGTGTACAGCCTGGGCTTAAATTTATACTTAAATTTACACTTGATGTGTGAAATCCGAGATTGCAGCTCGTCTCCAGATCCTTATTGGCCCCTGTCCTACATTTTGCTTGCACTAAACTAAGAACTTGCCCTCCCCCCAACACACACACACATCCATGTGCACGGGGCTGAACGGACACCTATACGAAACCACCAGCGACCTAGGCGAAATCAATGCCCTCACAGGTAAAGGATGCAATCCGATTTGTCTGCTCATCCATCCAGCTCACACTGATTGAGCACTTGCTGTCCATCAGGACTGGAATGTTCCTGTGAACAGGGAGAGCACTGGGATCTGAACTCAGTTACTTAACAGTAGGCACCATGCACATGTAAATTGTGTACACAGATTCCCAAGCATCCCTGCACACGCATAAATCCACTCACACACATGCTGCAGTCACGGTAACATGCATACCCACCACACACACACACACACACACACCCCGTGGAGCTTGCATACATCCATCATGCACTGGCCCCTGTGGCCATGCTGACTTGCAGGTGGTTGGTCACTTGCCTCGTACATCCAAAGGCAAGCCCCTCCCTGTTCTTCAGCAAGCCCCCGCTGCCCACCCCCACCCTCCCACCTCCCCCCAGCCACCGGCCTGCCTCCCCACAGGTGGACGAGCAGCTGTACCGGCTGCAGTTTGAGAGGGCGGACCTCCTGAAGCGCATTGACGAGGACCAGGATGACCTGAACGAGCTCATGCAGAAGCACAAGGATCTCATCGCTCAGGTGAGGGGCAGGCGCTCGGGGCAGGCGCTTGCAGACTTGCGGCGGGGCGAAGGCAGAATATCGAGAAAGGGCGGTTGGCCTGCTCCCTGCTCTCGGCATCCTAGAGGAATAGATGCCCCTGGGTAGGCAGGAACTGTAAATCCCATGTGTTCCTGGGGGAGGGGAACATCACCTTAGAGAGATACTATGTGTATTTCTGGAGGACATCTCCACCAGGAAAATGCTCAACTTCATGTACCTGTCTACACATCACCCACGTATCTGCCATCCATCTGCCTGTCGGTCCATACGTTTACCCATCAACCCTTTTGTCCACCCATCTACGCATCCATTCATTTGCTTACCCACCTTACCCACCCACCCATCCATCTACCCCACTATCCATCCACCCACCTCCCACCCATGTATCTAACCATCCATCTACCGATCCACCCACCTGTCTGTCCATCCATCCATCCACACTTTCCCCTCTCCCCTTCTGTCCCGCTCCCCCTCTCTCCTCCTCTCTCTTCCTCCCCCTCTCCCCCTTCCTCTCCCCTT